CTGGGGATTGTGTGCGGGAGGATGATCGGGACTGTTCCTGAAGCTGGTTGAATCTCTTGTTGCGCATCAACTGTTCGAAAGCGTTGGTGAGTTCCGAGGCGTCGAAGTTCTCAGGCTGCAGCGCCGGGTTGTGGTGTCGACCGTCCGCCATGGTGGTAGGGGGTAGGGTCAACGACACCAGCGAGTGTAAGACGTGTGAATCTCCAGATTGGGTGATTTGCGATAATCCTGGGTATCAAGATCGACTAGTAACGTGTCTCCAGATGCAGTGAGGAAACACGGAAGAGATGAAGGTCAGGATGGATGGGAGAGTGATGTCGACACAGGCGAGGTAGTAGTAGGTTGGAAGGTCCGTCAGGTCGGTCGATTGTAATGATAGTCGCACAGCCTAGCCAGGCGGTCGCCACGCTTGGCGCTGGTCAACGTAACCGCCACGACTACGGAGTAATCAAGGTGGTGATGAAGATGAGAGGATACTGAAGCCAAATGTCGAGATGGCTACAGTATAATCGAGTAGTGTGAGAATGGATGAAATAATGTCAAAGTGTTTAACGACCGAAAGGGTATAGGAAGGGTTTGATTTGGTTTAGAGGGGAGTGGGCGGGCGGCAGGGGAACCGACAGGGGAGCGAAGAGGAAAGGAAGAGAGAAGAAAAGAAAGAAGGGAAAGGGAAGAAAAAGAGAGAGAGAGAGGAAGAGAGCGGTTAGAAGAGGAATGAGGAGGTATGGTTGTTGAGGATACCTACAACAAGGTAGGGAAGTAGTAGTTCCTTGGGAGGGAGGGAGGAGAGTAGAGAGAGTAGAGTAAAGAGAGAGAGAGGGAGGGAAGAAAGGGAAGGTAACTAACCAACTGCTAAGAGAGAGTCGAGAAGCAGTTACGCAGACCGTGGCCGAACAATACGCAATACTAGTAGTAATACGACGACGGAGGGACTGACTAGTCACAGGAGAGGTGATGATTTTTCTGGCCATTGGCGCTTTTTCTCTCCACGCCAGCAGCGAGGGCAAAGCGTCGTCAGCCTTGAGCTCTTCGCCCCAATCAGGGCCCCGCGCCAGCACCGCAAGCCGCGTGTGTCCCGCCCCGAAACAGTTAACTGAACCATGGCCAAGACCCTCGCTCTCCTCGGTCCGCTGCTTTGCATTGCTGCGTCGCACTTACTGCCACGCACTTTTCCTCTCTTTCTCCTGCTGGTAGCATGGTTCCCTCCTCCCGGGTTTTGGCAATATTGTCTTGACGTTGATCAGTATGGGTTTTCTGCCCGTACAGCCAGCCCTTTCCCAACCCAAACCCTCTCTTGACTCTCAAACTGCATCCATACGTTGCAGACTCTCCTCCGATCTTTTCCCCAATTATTGACCCCAACCTTCCCGCAAGTATATTTCTTCTTTGTCAATCACTCCTTGTCGCGATCCGATTAGGTCGATATCTTTGAACTTCAGGCTCCACTTGTTGAACCCGATGTCGATTCTCCCTGTCCATCGTGACCTCTTCTATGCTAACAACGGTGTGGCTGTCTGCTTCTACAAAAAAAAACAACTACAACTCCAAACTGCCCAATAAAACTACTATACGACTATACTAGTATGAACCACTGGTAGATAGAATTTAGACTATGTTTTTCCCACCCTCTTTCTCTATCTCCACTTTCTTCCTAGGCCCTACAGAGAGGAGACACACCTGCTGATGAATCCCTCAAAAAGCTTGGCCATGTCCGCGTGGGTTGCACGTCGCGATCTGACATTGGGACTGGCTTTTCCCCTCAACCTCGTCTACGCAATCCTTGCACAGATTTTACTATGATCCTCAGAGCTTCATCATCTTCCCGACCACACCCTCCCCGTGGAGGTCCTGTCCCGCTATACAGAAGATTTGCATCTCCCGATCGGGTAACTGTCGAGCGCAATCTTCCGCGCTCTGGGTCCGCACCATGGGGAACTCGTTCGACGTCAGCCTGCCTGTCTTACGCGGCTCTCTGACCAACGGACTAAAAATGTCACCATCGTACGCTACCATGCGCAACGACCGTGCTCCGTGCACGTCGTGTCCACTTGAATGGTCGATACTAGGCACACCATCAACAGAATTTTAAGGAGCTCTTCCTCCACCAGGAGGGAAATTTCATGACTCCAACACCTATTCAGACACGAAACTCCAATACCTCTACCAGAAGGGGCAATTTGGCAGAGCGGCATGGCCCGTAGCCTTACGAGTATTCAATCCAGTGCTGGAGTTTTCAACCCACTTCACCAAATTCCCCTCAGCTGACGAATCACGGATGAAGTCGAACCCGATTTTGGGTGCCGATTCTCTGGCGGACGAAGGGATTGGGCAAATAAGAGGGAGCTGGATAGTCATGTAAGGCTAAGAACTGCACTATTTGCCAGCTAAATTACTCGGAAAGCTGGCCACAGAAGCAATTGGAGGGGCAGCATCGTATGCTGGCGTCGAACTATATGTTGGGTACGTCGTGGCCTTGAAGGATGTGAGGGTCATTACAATGAGCCCTCCTATAAGACGAGCAATCCAAACCCTAGCCGGAACAGACTTCAGCCGTCGTGTGGCCGGCGATGATCATGGTGATCTTGATGACTTATAAAAGCCAACCTTGATCAGGGTTCAGACTGCGCCTTGCACGGCAGACTTCTATATGTTTCAATTGGAGGACGACTCCATGATAGACACAGCGATCAGAAGACAATCATCGCGCCGTATGCGCACGACACCCTTGAAGCAAGCCCTGGGCAGTCCGTACGCATAAACGCCCTTTCTGTACATATAAGACGACCTGTCCAGCGCCCTATCTTCTTAGCATTAGAAGCACACGCGGCATCTGCACCCTGATGAATGTGAATCCCCACTCTGACAGTTCTCATGTACCACAAATCGCCAATTCATTTCCACCGTCATTTTATTTATCCCTTCCAAAAAGGAATTCCCTAGGCCAATCATTTCATGCATGTAACACATCCAGAATACCCTACGCCAATGGTTTTAATCATTCAGCTGAATGGCGGCGCTGAATGAACACCTGAACTCGATAACAGTTATACCGAAAGTGTTCAAGGATGGGAAAATTACAAATAAAATAAAAATTAAAAGAAGACCCGGAAACCCGACTTCTCCGAGTGTCCGCATATCTTCCTCCCTACCAACTCAAAGCGGAAAGTATCCAACGGAGATAAAACCAGTCGGCGTTACAGGTTTACGGCATCCTTCCTAAACAGGACGATGGGTGGCGGAGACGCGCAAGCGTCCGTCTTGGCATGAGACAAGATCTGGCTAGAGGGAGCTTCCAGACCCATGGCCCTAAACCCGTTTCTATTTGTTGTCCAAGGTGTCAACAGTCAATACCACCGTCCTAGACCCTGGCCAGGGGGCTTGGCGTGGATACCTCATCCGGTTATGTGTGGCTTTGCTTTTTCTTTTTCCCTCTTCCTTCTGAGTTTAGTAAGTGGTAGATTGATTGCGAGAGAAAGTCACAACCCTTTCCAGTTCGTTCTCGGGTTTGTGTTCCATTCCATCGATGGTCGAGACCCTGGACGATCTCATCTCCTGTTTTTGAGGACATTCTATCTACACAGGTATATTTCCATGGTTTTGATAATTGACTATAAATCTTCTTCACTACTACACTCTAGATAAGTAGGAAATAAAATATGGGGATGGCTAATATTAGCACCACCTTCACACCAGGTAAGAACTAAGAAGATTGCAATTCCAGAGATTAGTGTTAGTTTTTACCTGGTTGGATTACGCAGCACTATGCCGATGACTAAGTAACTAATTAAAGGGAACCCGGGCTTTACGGCATCCCACTTAACCCGAACTGTTCTTTGAACCTTGGACGCGGAATTGAACCCTTGAAACCGAACACGTGAGCCATCCCTTTCCCGATTGGTGAGAATCCTTCAATGTAAGGTGCGGTGGGTCTTTTATCGATGCTGAACTGGCATGATTACGACAACTCTTTTCTAGGTGGATTCTTCAGTGCCTGCCTGCCTCCATAGAACGATACTGTACGGATTACTGAGTAGAAAGAAGAAGATCAACGGAATAACGGAGTCACGGAATTAGAAAGTGAGCGCGGCTCAAGCCGACAGCATCTCATACCCACATCTTTTCGTACCAGGTTTCATTGACCCAAGGATCACAGTCAGTTACTGAGATTACTTATCCACAGTTCAGTTGGAGGCACTAGACTACGTACTAATCAGTACATCTAGTTGGTTCGTGGTTTGTGGTTGTGGTTTGTGGTTAGCGGGCCGTGTCATCGTGAAGTCATGATTAGATACTACTTGCAGATACGCTAACCATACTCTACTACAATATAATATACTATAGTATACTATACACATTATTGTAGATAGATACTACATAGAGTAAACTAGTCTAGGGATATATATATACATACGTATGTATGATGTGATGATGCAACCGCGACTCATCTTCACCTGAGACAAACAGATAGATAGATAGATACACAGCATACTGTAGTAGATATGATCTAGTTCCTTGCTTCAGGTACTCGCGGACATACATACATGCATACTACACGCATACTTGCTTGATTCGCACACATACCGTATAGCATAACTTCAATACTGTGGATTCGCCACTACTGATACTACCTGCGACCTATCTGTCTGTCTGTCTGTCTGTCTGACTTCTTGCTAAGGTAGCATAGCAGGCAGGCAGGCAGGTAAGTAAATGAACGTTGCCGCTGCGCTGCAGTACTACCGTTACTGTGCAGGATGTAGGAAGTATATATCTGTAGGTACTACTACAACACTTATACTCTAAGTTTTCCCTCTATGTACACTCTGCAATCTATTGTTATAAATATATATAGAGTATTGTATGTTATATTACTATCTATTCCCATTATCCACTTTGAAATTTAACCAACAAACTAAACAAATCAATCTCATCTCTAACATACATTGTATGAACTGACTCAAAAAAATGATCTACAACATATATGTACATGATGACGTACACCCCAAGACTGGGTCCCATAATCCCTTCCCTTCCTTCCCGGGACGGGTAAGTATCTGCTCTGCTCTTTGTCCCGGGTACGTAGTTAGATATTATGGACAACGTGTTTCAGATAGCGTAGGTAGGGATGTGTGGTTGGGTTTTGTTGGATAATCCGATGATCATTGTTGGGATGTATCAGATAACGTACGCGGCTTTATTAAATTTTACTTTCTTGCCATGTGTCATGTGTATTGTGATGGTTAGGTTTTGGAAGCATAGGTTTTTGACTTCTTCGATGGATGTTCGGTTCGGCGTGGTGGTGTGCTTGCTGTGCGGTGTGTAGAGGGGGGAATTAAGTTTTCTGCACTACTACATACTACTCTAGTTTGGGTGCTAGTATTTATTAATCAATCTTCTAGAAGGTGTCTCGTCTTGTCTTGCATTAAGCGGTATCTTTATTATGCTGTGTCGCTTGCCGAATTCTTATTTAATCTATGGATTAGAAGATCGCTATGCCCAGATACTATGTTCGCCGTGCTCGTGTTCGCCAAGAATATAAACAGTAAATGCTGAATGAATGAGTGAACGAATGGATGAATGAAGGGGATGAAAAGAAACAAGGAAACCGCTGCAGTCCATAAACAGCAATCAGGTTGAACACTTGGATAGTTCGGCAACGAATGACTTGCCCCAGAAAGCACTGCGACATTATCGTCAGCTAATTATGCGTTGTATACTCATCAATAGGCCGCGTCACTTACCTGGTGTACTTGGAGATGTATTTGTAGAGCTTTTCGAATTTTTGGGCCCGCAGATCGTCACTCATCGACACGGCCTCGTGGTATGCGTTGGCAAGTTCTTCCGTGTTCCATGGGTTGACGACAATGCTGCCGTTAAGGCTTTGCGCGGCTCCAGCAAACTCCGACAGAATTAGCACCCCCTTGCGTTTCTGCTGTGTTGCAACGTATTCGAACGACACTAGGTTCATCCCGTCGCGAGTCGACGACACGACACACGCGTCGGAGGCGGCATACAGCGCGATGAGTTCATCAAAGCTCACCGATTTGTGCATGAAGTGGATGGGCATGTAGTCGACCGTTCCTGAGTCAAGCTGTTAGCAGGCGCAAGAGGAGGAGTGCATCGCCATCGCCAGTCTTACCGAACTTTCCGTTGATTCTGCCCACCAGCTCGTTCACCACGGCCCTCAGGTTCTGGTACTCTTCAACATCTTGACGACTCGGGACAGCTACCTGTACCAACACGACTTTGCCCACCCATTCGGGATGCTGGGAGAGGAAGACCTCCAAGGCGTGCAGCTTCTGAGGAATACCCTTGATGTAGTCAAGGCGATCAACGCTGACCATCAACTTCATGCCTTGGAACTTGTTCTCAAGGCTCGCGATGCGGTTCTGCACCTTGGGGCTCTTTAGGCCTTCGGTGAACTTGTCGGGGTCAATGCCGATGGGGAAAGCTCCCACGGCAACAGATCTGTCCTTGAATTTGACACTGCTGGGGGTCGTGACCAATCCACTGCCAGGGACGTTAGCCTACATTCGGCCAGAGAGCCAGTGGTCACTTACAGGATATGAGAGCAACAGCTCAGGAAGTGACGCGCATAGTCATAGGTATGGAACCCGATCAAGTCACACTGCAACACGCCGCGCAGCAACTGACTCCGCACGGGCAGGATTCTATAGATCTCACTGCTCGGGAACGGGGTATGCAAGAAGAATCCAATGCGGATATTGTTCTTGCCCAAGGCTGCAAGTTCTTCGCGGAGAACCTCCGGAAGAAGCATGAGGTGGTAGTCGTGGACCCAGACAAGGTCCCCTTCCCGGGCCTCATGGGCGATGGTCTTCGCGAACAAACGGTTCGCCTCACGATACGCATCCCAGGCAGCTTCGTCGAAAACAATTTCACCGGGATGGTAATGCAAGAGAGGCCACAAGATTGAGTCTGATAGCTCACATTAGCAAAACAGTTAGGGGCCTGTCGCGCCCTGCCAGGTGGCAGCCGCAGGAGATAGGTGCGGAAGCGCATCCGATGCAGGTGGAGAGGGGAATCACGACGATACGTACTTGAGAAGCCATTGTAGTGGCGATCTGCCAATTTGTCGTCCATGAACACCGGAGTGGCGTTGAACTCTTCCTGCAATCGCTGCTTCACGGAATCGACCTCATCTTCGGGTACTTCCAGTCCTGGCCAGCCATACCACTGGAAGGTCGTGGTCTTTGATAGTCCGCTCAAACCAGTCACCAGGCCACCAGAGGACATGGAAAACTCATATTTCCCACCCCCGGAGCGACGAATGGTGATAGGTAGACGATTAGAGACGATCAACAGGCGGTGATCGCCTTCCGAAGAATGTCCGTTAGCAGCCATTGGGGGGGAAAAAGAGATAATGCAATGGAGAGCAGAGCAAAAGGGGTGTGCCCCGCTTTGAGGATGGTGGAGGATAAGATGAGTCAATTGAGGGGAATTGATAGGAGACTGCGAGGTAATATAATGAGAGTAGCTTGGGGGGGAAAGGGAAAGGAGGTGATGAGAAAGAGGGGGGAACAAGACAAGCAAGTGGTAGTAGTAGTGTAGTGTAGAGTAGTGGTGGTGATGGAATGGAAAGTTGAAGGGGAAAGATTGAAGTGGTGATGGTAATTTTGGTTTATCTTTCAAGCTTTCCGCTTTCCATCTCATTTCGTGTTGCCCCTCACCATTTCCTCTTTGTGACTTCACTTTTTCCACTTCCCACTTTTTCTTCTCCTACTTTCTCTTCCTTCCCGTCTCCATCCCTCAATTACCCGTTCCTTGTCTGGAGTGCCGGAATCATCATTGACCAACCCGGTGTTCCATGTGCTTCGGTGACCATTCCCATTGTCTGGCGGAAACAAGGCGCGCGTGCGCGACAGAGCGACCCAACGCCCGGTCGAATTGTCGAGAACCATCGCCAAAACGCTATCTTAGTGCCGGTGGAGAGACTGCGGATCCCACGGGAACCACAACGTCATTGATCTCATTGGTCTGCCCACTATAAGCTGCAAGGCTATAGCAGCACTGCCAGGCAAGTTTTCTTGCGTCTTTGGCTTCATCTATGCCATGTATCGGGCTTGTGATCTGAGACCATAATCCTGGTGGCCTAGATCCGGGTCCCCGTTCCCCCCAATTCCCCTCCTTCTCTCTTACTCTCTCCTGCCCTCTTTTGTTTTCTTTTTTAGCATCCCTCATGATGCGACTGGACTGGCATCTCTCTGCCCAAGACAAGCCCAAAGAACCTGCCCGAACCCCTCCTTCGCGCTTGGAACATGCCCCTCTCCAGTCACACCTTTTCCCCCGAAGAGCCCAGAATGTTCCTGTCATTTTCGCATGTGCTTCATCTCCCTGGTCTGGACGGCTTCCCCCTGGTCCAATCATCAACGTCACCACTCCCTGCTTTCTTCATCTTCTGGCTCGGGTGTCTAACCTGTCCCCGGGATTTTCAGGGTCGTCGCAATTCACTCTTCTCCCGTGACACTTAAGACATAGCTCCTGCCGTCGCATATCAAATCATTTCCACACCCTCTTTAGCCTCCCTTGGTCCGGACAGGAAGAAATCAAATCTCCACGGATCATTCACTTAATTCTTCCGGGAAAAGCGGCACGCATAATTCCATACTTCAGCCTTTCATTTTCCTCCAGAGAACCTCCAAAGCTCCCCCTCAATTCCTCGTGCAATAGCCCTTGAACAATACAATAGGCTAGACTTTGTCGGTGTCACTTCACCCCCAATGACGGTCTTCATTGCCTCACTGTATGTTTGTCCTTCTTCATCTCGCAGTTGATTGAGTTCTCACTCACACTGTCCAGCTTTCTCCCCTATACCATTGACTTTCAAGCTACCGAGTTGCGACATGCTCGGCGCAAGTCATCCAGTAGCTCTTCTCGCGGAGAGGGCCGAATCATAGGGCGACTAGCAGACACCAACAGGAAGCACCATTCCAGGAGCATAAGTCTGTCGCTAACTCCTGGCGCCACCACCGACGATGAAAGGATCTTCAAGCCCTATGTCTCGCGCGCTGCAGGTGAGATTCCGGCTGCAGATGATCCCAACGGCCCAGGCCCTAGCGAACCTCGTACCGTTTCCTGGGGCCAGAGCCGTAAGTTCAATCAGCCGCGCTTAAAGACTTCTCTTCACCCGGGTCCCTCCATCCTGAGCCGGCCTGGGCCAGGGGATGATGTGGACAACCTGCCCTATCTGGATGGTCCTGTAGATGTATTGAGCTCAGAAGAAGAACACGGGAGTCCCCGTGCTTTGCTCTCTGAGCTTGACTGGGTTGTCAAGGCAGCTGAACAGGGCAATGGTGGCTTGCGGAACGCCATCAATGCTGCCGAAGAAGCAGGCATGTTGACGGACAAGATGTGGGTGGGCACATTGGGTATGCCTACGGACTCATTGAGAGACGGCACGCGTGCCAGTATCTTCGAGACGCTGGAAGAGGAATACGAGTCGCTTGCTGTGTTTGTCCGCGACAGCGAATTCGAAGGTCATTACACCCACTTCTGCCGGGCTGTCCTGTGGCCTGCTTTCCACTATCAGATGCAGGAAAGCCCGCGACACACGGAGTACGACGATTACTCCTGGAAGCAGTATGTCAAAGTCAACGAGGCATTCGCAAAAATCATTGCTGCATACTGGCGTCCTGGTGACAGCATCTGGGTACATGACTATCACCTTCTGCTTCTTCCGGGAATGCTCCGGGAGAGGCTGCCAAAGGCAGAGATCGGCTTCTTCATGCATACTGCATTTCCCTCGTCGGAGATCTTCCGCTGCCTGAACGCTCGGGAGGCACTGCTGAAAGGGCTTCTCGGTGCGGATCTGATTGGTTTTCAAACGGAAGAGTACTGCTATCATTTTCTTCAATCTTGCATTCGCCTTTTAAGGTTGGAAGTCTCCGTTGATGGCGTACAACTCGACCGACGATTCGTCCATGTGAAGAATATGCCCATCGGTGTTGACGTCAAATCGCTCGACGCGCTGCGCAGGACTACACATGTGAAGGATTGGATCGCCAATATCACCTCTCGATACAAGGGAAAACATTTGATCGTTGCTCGTGACAGGCTCGATGCTCCGGGTGGTATCAAGCAGAAGCTTCTCGCTTATGAACTTTTCCTGAAGAAGTACCCTAAGTGGAGGGAAAAGGTATGTTCGGGCGAAGCACAATGCATGGGTTTAATACATTTGGTACTAACTAGCCCAGGTGGTCCTTGTTCAAGTCGCTTCGGCTTCTGAGCTGCCTGAATTGGAAGCTCAAGTTTCGAAAATCGCCATGAGGATAAACTCGGTGTACTCCAGCTTGACTCATCAGCCCCTGGTACTCCTGAGACAGGACATCAGTTATTCCCAGTTCT